GCAAAGAAACAACGTTAACCGCATCCCTAATACCCCTGACTGCGCAGAATCTCCGACCAGACCGTACGAAACCGGTGAAGAGCAGCAAGACGTCCTGTTCAACGCATCATATTGATTCGACAACATCGTCAACAACTACAGCATTGGTGTCTTAAACACAGGGTATGGCCTCAACTGCGATGGAGAGATGTCTGGTTCAGCGACGAATCAAGATTTCTCCTCCGTCGAAGGGATGGAAGAACACGGGTCTACAGACGTCGGCGAGAACGTTACACCGGAAGTTGACAGGTTTGGTGGGGGTAGCGTTATGATGTAGGCGGCTTTCTCTCATCATGGCAGGACTGGTTTGGTCCATATCCAGGGCAAAAACGGCTCAACGATACATTAACGAAATTCTCCTACCACACGTCCTCCCAATTGAAGCCAACGGCTACGGTGTATTCCAGCAGGACAACTCGACTGCATACAGCACGGATCACAAGAGCCTGTCTACACAACAACAACGTTGATGTTCTCCCCTGACCCTCCAAATCCCCGGATTTGAACCCGATTTGAACCCGATTGAGCATACGAGTTATTGATGGTAGCTGACCTTCACCTTGGACTTTTCCTACGTACCGATAACTGAGATGACTACAATCACCAAGTGTTCTCTCCACAACGTTTTGGCTCAGTACCTTGTACGGTTCCTCGTCTAAATTTATTTTCCTACCTCACACAAATCTGGCTTTTATAGAGTATATGTTGGCTCTTTTGAAAATCGCTGAAGATTACAGCCAACGGTTGCGTTTCACACTCTGTCAGAAAAGGATCTTTAGCAGCAGAAATAAGATCTCCGCAAGTACCAGCTGAGATAATACTCTACGGGCGTCCTTTACCTACACTCAGTCAAGCATGTTGGTGTTATACTTACTGACTTCAAATCAAAAGAGAGGACTCTGGAGGAGCTGGGATTATGTTTGGAGACCTGATATTTTTTCAGCTACAGCTGCTAAACCAGATAATTGTTCAATTAAACCTATGTGTCCTAAGTATTTATTCTAAACAACACCTTGCAAATATATAAATTTTGTGGTGGACAATTTCTCAAGCATAATTATCATTTTCAAGAATTTTATGGGACAATTAATTCTTTTCGATAAAATTCCAGGAGATTAAATGGTCAGTCCGTAATCCATATATGTCTCCATAACAGATCTTAACGATGTGATATTCCTTTGTGAGAAATATGCAAGAACCAACAGTGACCCGTGAGTTCATGCAGTTGTTCACTTTGATGACCTTAATGATATACGGGATCAACACTGGTGTGACCGGATCCCAATTGGACCATGATTTAGTGTCTGTTGTTAAGCTTGTGCTGTGCCAACTGTCCAGTAGGCCATATAGGCCTGGCTACGAACTGAACGAAGACGAGTTTCACCGCTCTGTGTGTCAGATATGTGCAGTGGGCACTGATACAAAAGCATTGGCACAACGTACTCTTGTTTGAACATTCAGTAAAGCGATTTATGTTTTATCTGTCCCGTTAAGATATCTGATCCCATTCTGTACATAACAACATAATCTCCTAAGCATATTGTAATTTCCCAACCCGAAGAGTTAACAAAGAATAATAATGTTCTTGATGTCACCCGTCTCTGTACATAAAAAGAATCCCCACGCTATGGTTATTGAGGGGAAATTCCCGTTTTACGGTAAGATCATGTGTTCCAGATGAGTAAACATATTTACACACGGCGCGTATGCTGCCACAAAAGGATGCAATGTCATTCGACAGCGTTGTGTATCCTGGAGCTCAAAACCGCTCTCAACGGGGCTGATTAGCATTACAATGTCCGAAAGCTGAGCATGTCCATAACGCTTCTGTGTGTGTGTGTGTGTGTGAGGGTGTGGGGGTGTGGGTGTGTGTGTGTGTGTGTGTGTGTGTGGGGGGGGGGGGGGGGGGGGGTTGGGGGGTTGGGGGGTGGGGTTGGGGGGTGTGGTGGTGGGTGGGGGGGGGGGGTGTGAGGGGGTGGGTGTGTGTGTGTGTGTGTGGGGGTGGTGGTGGGGGGGGTGGGGTGGGGGGTGGGGGGGTGTGATTGGTATTACTGGTTAGGGGTGGCGTTGTGGTTTGTGGGAATTCAGGGTGTGGAAGGGGTGAGAGAAGCACTAATTGCCAAATTACATTTTAAACATCGCTGCCACTGTGAGTTGCGTGTACATACACTGTACTTGTTTTTTGAGTATCCATTGCACCCGGATGCGGGAAATATTTGGGTTTTACCCTGTTTTCTTATGTTTTAATCGTATATCAGACGAGGGATCATACTCCCACACATGTAAGGGCAAATTGCTATGGCACACAATAATGTATGTCAGACGAGGGATCATGCACCCACCAATCTAAGGGCATATTGCTATGGAACACAATAATGTATGTCAGACGAGGGATCATACTCCCACCAATGTAAGGGGATATTGCTATGGCACACAATAATGTATGTCAGACGAGGGATCATACTCCCACCAATGTAAGGGCATATTGCTATGGCACACAATTATGTATGTCAGACGAGGGATCATGCACCCACCAATCTAAGGGCATATTGCTATGGCACACAATAATGTATGTCAGACGAGGGATCATACTCCCACCAATGTAAAGGCATATGCCTATGGCACACAATAATGTATGTCAGACGAGGGATCATACTCCCACCAATGTAAGGGCATATTGCTATGGCACACAATAATGTATGTCAGACGAGGGATCATACTCCCACCAATGTAAGGGCATATTGCTATGGCACACAATAATGTATGTCAGACGAGGGATCATACTCCCACCAATGTAAGGGCATATTGCTATGGCACACAATAATGTATGTCAGACGAGGGATCATACTCCCACCAATGTAAGGGCATATTGCTATGGCACACAATAATGTATGTCAGACGAGGGATTATACTCCCACCAATGTAAAGGCATATTGCTATGGCACGCAATTATGTATGTCAGACAGGGGCACGTCATTCACGTCGACCAACAGAGACCACATAACGTCGTGGAGCATGTTCCTCATCACGTCATTCACGGCGACCACCAGAGCCGATGCAAAGGATTCCAGGTTACAAACACGTAAATGGTTTTTTCCAAACTTCTACTAAATACTGGCTTTCTCAACACATTACAGATTTTTGACGTCCAACTCTCGCACGTCCCCCGTCGGCGTGGATCGTGGCTCATGCTATGTCGACCACAGTCTGCCTGCAGTAGGTTGTTGATTGGTAAATGCAGAATCATTCACCAGGGCACGCTTCGCTAACAAACAGGTTTAAAATACATGCTGATAAGGTGAGGTGTGTAACATTTTGTTACACTGATGGTATTTGCATTTTCTTAGTATTTTGATGGACAAAATATATGTTTGTTTGTCAGTCACCCCCCGTCCCCTTTGGCGACGCATTTTTTCGAAACAAGTAATTTACATATGGGATCAAGATGTAGGCGTGAATAGTTGACATCTAACTATCCACTCGTTAAAGATAATGAATCGTGTAAACAATACAGGACGTCACAGATAATAAATGCTGGTGCGGAACAGTCGCCACGTTGTTGGACCAGGGGTCTTTGTTCCCAATGAGATGGAAATGCGGATGTTATCCACGCTTGCTGCTCACGGCTATACAAAGAAAGGATGTGCATGTCCCCACCCACCTACCCCCACCCCGCGTTGAGTTTGACATTCTATCACAATTTTTTCACAATTTTTGTGAGGAAATCGGATGAAATTTCTTGTCATGGCCCTAGGTTGAAATTATATACACGTCCTGCGCTCTTATCATGTATGGCTTCTGTTACGAGAGATAAACTTGACCTGGGCTGCTGGTAGCTTTAACACTATTCCAGTAATATCGCAGCAAGCTGTATGAGCTTGACTGCATACGTACTTGTGAAACACAGTTTATATTACACTAAACGAACGTACGCGTTGTGTTTGTTATTCATTTTTATGTGTCGTTTTATTTACACATTTTTATCATGTGACACATCTTGGTGTCTTATTGGGGTGTGGTTTACCTGCGTGTAGGTCAAAGGACGCGATGTATGGTGTGAAAGAAAATAGTTTATGTGTTGACACCAAACTTTTAAACAGGCACTACGTCATGGTCTATATCTGGGCACCGCATCTAGACACATTATCAGAAGTTAATCTTGTTAAGCACACCGCACCGAGACACAGGCATCACGTCATTGTATATGTCTGCACAACGCATCTAGACACATTATCAGAAGTAAGTCTTGTTAAGCACACCGCACCGAGACACAGGCATCACGTCATGGTCTATATCTGGGCACCGCATCTAGACACATTATCAGAAGTTAGTCTTGTTAAGCACACCGCACCGAGACACAGGCATCACGTCATGGTATATGTCTGCACAACGCATCCAGACACAATTTTACAAGACGTCTTGTTAAAAGAGATTTCTCATCTAGACACAAGCATCACGTCATGGCCCAGATCTGAACACCGCAGCGCAAGTTAGTCGTGTTTAGGACACCGTATCAAGATATGCAGGGACCACTTCATGGTCTAAACGTAGACACAAAAACACACCCTCGTTTAGACAATAAACTATAGTTAAGGCTAGACCTTGACGACACACACACATGCTTGACCTAAACACACAATCTAGTCAAGTATAGGCTTTGACTCCACCAACCTGTCTAGTCTGGATACTACCAACTGATCTAGACTAGACACTACCAACTGGTCTAGTCTTCACCTAGACAGCGCCTCACACACTAGACCTAGACAATACACCACGGTCTCGACCTAGGCACCATGCTATAGTCTAATGTTGTCTGTCTAGTTTATATCTACACACGATGAACTGGTCTGGATGTAAAGGCCACACACGAAGCTAGACCTAGACACCGCATTGCAATCTGATCATGGTGTTGAGTACAATACTGCTAAATATCCATGTGAAAATATTGAACAGATAAAATCTCAAGAAAAATAAACGTTTTATTCACAACCAAAACAAAACATTTTTGGGGGATAACAAAATGGCAGTTTGAATTTGGACACTGCCAAAATCTTACACTACATATAGTATAACATTATGCTATCTTGGTTTATAACAAAATGTACACTTACAGGTAAAGCAAAGTTATTGATTTCTTTATATAATCGTCAAAGTCACCATCATGGTAATAGATAAAGCATAAGAACAAATTGAAAAATGAAAACGAAATATTGAAGAAATGGTGTCAAGCTTTCTTAAAGTTCTTGGATGTACAAACAATGCAGCCATTTGGCCTCACGTTCTTCATGTTTACCTCCGTAACCCTCGAGATGATTGTCGGTAAAGGAAAAGACTACAACTTCGTTTTTGTATAAATTGGATCTGTCACACTTTACTCGATAGCAGAGAATTGAGGAACTCATCCTCACGGGATAATGTCAAGGATTATTTAACCAAATTATGAATGTGAATCTGAAAATGTTTCCTGAAATGGACGGCGGCAGGTGGTATGGACTGGGCAAGGCAAAACCAGGAAGGCAGACAGGAGAAGGCAGAGGCCTTTCATACAGGTAGGACTGGAGTTATTGCAAGAGGGGTGAAGGAAAATGTAACTCAACGAGGAGACAAAGTTTTAGTGTACAGAGATGACAATGAATCAGGATGATTGCAGTATGAAGAGAGTTATGGGTATGAGAATGTGATCATGTACAATATATATTTGGGACACAAGAGCTAATATTCAGACCTGACGTTAACAATATACTTTGATCAACAAACGAATGGGAATGTTGACACTTACATAGGACAATCATAACATATGTGATTAAAGATAGAGTTGATATTATGATGATGATGATGATGATGACGACGATGACGACGATGATGATGAAATCGTTGGTTAAGTAACTAAGTCTTTTATAGTGCGGTTGTGTCGTACAGACATTTATAAAGGAGAAAATAACACTGACTAGCCACACATGGATTAGATACCTCATCACTTAAATATCTCTGTTTGGACATTAGAGAACACAGTTTGGTGGTGGACACAGCAATGTCAGGACAGAATATACACTATGCATGAGATCAAAATAAGAGCATTTTGTTTTGCAAAGTCCACTCGTGAAATTTACAGATTGTGTTACTGTAAAGTTTGACCCTCAAATAATAAATCTAATACATATTTAGGGAATCATGAAAGCATTTTTCAACCGAAATACTTATTCGCAACAACAATCCTCAAATATATATAATGTTATGTATTAAAACCCACACCTCAGACTCTCATCGGGGCGGGGATATTGCGTCAATGAAATCATACTTTCTATAAAACATTTAACAAATAAATAACATATTTTAGAAGCTGACACTGCTTTAGTTAAAAGATAACTATGACGTAATTTATAACGTGGTTATTCACACGATGTAAGATATCTATTCTCAGATATTCCTATATTTTACAGAGTTGAGGAAAGAATACTTTTTACCTCACTATATTTAACCTGTTGTGTTAAATACAAGACATACCTAAGCGTTTGGCCGATAAAGCAAGTATTCAGCCCACAACATTATACATGCATGTAAAAGCATCAATATACACATGTTCAATGTACAGATATAAACACATTGATAAAAAATATCCAAACTGACTGTATAAAATATATCAATTATATTGTTGAGCACCGGGATATTAGTTTAGCACTATTATAATATTTACAACGTTTACAAAACGATGAAATAGAAATATTGATCTGCGGTTAAAACACAGCACGTATAACATGGATTTTTCTGTTCTCAATATAAAATCTGTTCCACTGCTAAAAGAGTAAGGTAGTTGTGTAATACGTCTCAAAATGGAGACACCAAACTATACATACAGCTATAAAAATAAACATTTTAACGTGAATTAAAACATTTGGCAAATTTGCCACAAGACAATATGTTACATTTTAGAGAACTTATTATTTATCATTGAGCTTTCAGCTGATTTCAGCATAAGTTACATAATCTATCAACAGAGGATATAAATATATAAACAGCTGCAGGCGACATGCGTGCACATTCAGTTCAGTTGCCATCCCGTCGAATTTGGTCCAAACTTGTACACAAGCTTCTTACCAAAGACAGGCTGCAAAATCTTTCGATGGTAGTAGTATCTGTAAAAGAGGAACGACAAAATTAATAAACATAACTGATATCATTTATCATTCAGACTTGGTTCGCTAAAACATATCATAAGTAGTGTAAGTGAATGCCCTAATGTATATCAAGCTATTGCAAGAGTCATTGCTTGTCGGACCTGTCTGCGTGTTTTCACACAGTTTATCTTTGGGATAGTTCGAATTTGGATAATTTCAACACATTACATGTCAGAAAACGGCCGTGGAGCACCAGGTGACCTGCACAAAGACTTAATTTTCGACCGATATCAGTTCAACGAAACCTGGAATACACCATGATCTATATTAGAAATATCCAAAACAGCTTGTTTTTTTTCAAAGAACGCAACACATTGTCACGGTTACATCAAGTGTTGAATAAAGGATTCTCCATTAAACACCACGGAAACTAGGTCAAATACACTGTCCACTAAATAACAATCTTTCTTGCAAGTGTATTTCTGGGTAGTGTAATAGAGTGGCCGTTCACCATTACTCTGCCTTTGCCCTGATACAAGGAGACGCCTGCACAACCCTGCAAAACTGGGTCATTGAGCTCGGGTACAGAATGCCCCGGCGGTGCACTTGTAATAGGCATTATTTGCATACACAACGGACGCTTATTGGTTGCCTCTCACACAATTTTAACGGGCTTGGCGACAGGTGAATCTAGGTCAGATTAACCTCAACAAAGATCAGCTGATTATTGTTGGATATACAATCCACGAATACAATGTCTTCACTAGTCATTGTGCCTCCGTGCGTGGAAGACACTTGAAATCAAGACTGACGCACACCACGCGTGTAAGACGGAGACCTCAAAGCAAGCCCCTTCACCTGACCAGACAGTATCTAGCTTCTTCTGTTTACAACATTGTTGAACCTTATATGCATCAGCTATTTATCCATGGGCCTAGTATACGATTTTTTTTATTATCAAAACCACATATTCTTCATTGGCATTGTTCGTGTTTGGAAGCTAATGTAAATTAGTGAGTGAGTGGCTTTAAGCCGATTTTAGCAATATTCCAACAATGTGACGGGGGGAGACCAGCAGAGGGCTTCACACAATGTACCTATGTGAGATATCGAGACCGGGCCTTCGGTGTGACGGGGAGCGAACGCTGTAACATTTAGGCTACCTAACTTACCGCCCCTGATATAAATGAAAATCAAATTTCAATCTAAAGATGGGGATAATTTTAACGTTACAGTTGCATTGTTCATACGTTGTGTTGTATGTTAACCACGTCACTGACAAGGTTATGGAGATGGATGTCAACAACACTGTTTATATTTACCTCATAGCTCGACTCAACTTCTCATAGGTCATGTCCAGGTTGTTCTTTCGCTTCCCCCACATCCGGGCAATGCCCCTGGAGTTGACCAGCCTGAACATCCCCTTCTCCCGATCCACCCACTCTATGTGTGACGGGTTGTAGCTGGGGTCCAGAAGCAGCCGCAAAATGAACTCCCACAGCCTCTCCGCACGGGGCACTGTAAAGCAGTTCAAGACATAGTGGTGAGACGGGCACTGTCATGCAGTTCAAGACATAGGGGTTAGACGGGCACTGTCAAGCAGTTCAAGACATAGGGGTGAGACGGGCAGTGTCAAGCAGTTCAAGACATAGGGGTGAGACGGGCACTGTCAAGCAGTTCAAGACATAGGGGTGAGACGGGCACTGTCAAGCAGTTCAAGACATAGGGGTGAGACGGGCACTGTCAAGCAGTTCAAGACATAGGGGTGAGACGGGCACCGTCAAGCAGTTCAAGACATAGGGGTGAGACGGGCACTGTCAAGCAGTTCAAGACATAGGGGTGAGACGGGCACTGTCAAGCAGTTCAAGACATAGGGGTGAGACGGGCACTGTCAAGCAGTTCAAGACATAGAGATGAGACGGGCACTGTCAAGCAGTTCAAGACATAGGGGTTAGACGGGCACTGTCAAGCAGTTCAAGACATAGGGGTGAGACGGGCACTGTCAAGCAGTTCAAGACATAGGGGTGAGACGGGCAGTGTCAAGCAGTTCAAGACATGGGGGTGAGACGGGCAGTGTCAAGCAGTTCAAGACATAGGGGTGAGACGGGCACTGTCAAGCAGTTCAAGACATAGGGGTGAGACGGGTACTGTCAAGCAGTTCAAATCATAGGGGTGAGACGGGCACTGTCAAGCAGTTCAAGACATAGAGGTGAGACGGGCACTGTCATGCAGTTCAAGACATAGGGGTGAGACGGGCACTGTCAAGCAGTTCAAGACATAGGGGTGAGACGGGCACTGTCATGCAGTTCAAGACATAGGGGTGAGACGGGCACTGTAAAGCAGTTCAAGACATAAAGGTGAGACGGGCACTGTCATGCAGTTCAAGACATAGAGGTGAGACGGGCACTGTCATGCAGTTCAAGACATAGGGGTGAGACGGGCACTGTCAAGCAGTTCAAGACATAGGGGTGAGACGGGCACCGTCAAGCAGTTCAAGACATAGGGGTGAGACGGGCAGTGTCAAGCAGTTCAAGACATAGGGGTGAGACGGGCACTGTCAAGCAGTTCAAGACATAGGGGTGAGACGGGCACTGTCATGCAGTTCAAGACATAGGGGTGAGACGGGCACTGTCAAGCAGTTCAAGACATAGGGGTGAGACGGGCACTGTCAAGCAGTTCAATACATAGGGGTGAGACGGGCACTGTCAAGCAGTTCAAGACATAGGGGTGAGACGGGCACTGTCAGGCTGATCAAGACATGGGGAATCAAGTTTCAATGACACCAGCGATAGCCTTCACACACTGTCCCTATCTAGGCAATATGTCCATTTTACCCACAATGCTCTTGTGTTTAGCGAAGAAGTCATACAAGCTAGTAACTTAAAGAAGAGTTCTGCATAACTTTGATTGGTGGTTCCTGCCTTCACAGCACGATATATTTACTTGTACCTACTCATCTTCTTTATCAAGTCATGTGGTCAGTTTACTCAGTTACTAGCACAGTGATTGCGTTTAGCTATGTTGTCGGCATCGCGGTACAGTGAAATATAGAGAAGCGATGTTGTTTCTAGGCCCCGCTCTTTCCACGGACCATGGGCCTTACAGTTTCATGTTTCTGCAATTTCCTATAACTGACACTACTCAATGCGAAGCACTATTTATCTTAAAGCCACAGATGTTGAGAAAGTATAAGTTAAATTACATGTAGCAACCTGTTTACAATCCGTGTCTTGACATATCCCCAAAGAACACATATTATTAGCCCAGGCCGTATTTGAAAATGATGCGAATAAGATATTAAATGGATAAAAACACTACACTTTCAGTTGAAGTAGTCATGCAAAACCTCGTGAATTGACTCAAAATAAACCTTTGAATGTCACCGTTAATAAGTCTGCAAACAGAACAAAGAGGTTTCTAAATCTGAGGCTCACATTCCCACACCCACTGACACAATCGTCTCGCGCTGATGACAGCTTATGCTTGTAATACAGTGAATTGACGCTAATCAATATTTCTCTATGAGACGTCTTTATTCGTATGGGTTATGGACCAGTGGCGCGGTTAAACATAAGCAACAATAACATCCCTTGACAAGCGTTTCTGTTATAATAGCACACGTGCTTGCGGCTGTTTATTAAAGGACGCCGTAACGCTAGTATGGCCAGCCGTTTTACAAGTCTTTGAGAGCGTAATCGTTCAACGTCAGTGTGTGATTTATGTAAATGTAGAGACGCGAAACTGAAAGGTTTATGGTGTGACGTCTCCGGGAACGCTGGCAGTACCATGAAGCTGACATGTAGCGTTATTTTGTCAAATTCCTTCATCGTTGTTCCGTAAGAGATCCGCGACAGACTTATTTTTGTAATGAATAATGTGCAGCTGTTTTCGTTTAGGGACCGATCATTGGATATTCTGTGTGGGCGTGGGATGAAGGAGGGGGGAGCGTTCGGTTGATAAACGCACATGAAATTAAATTAAATAAAAAAACCAATCATAAATGTATATTTTTATAAATTCAATACACGTAGTACATTATACTCAAATATAATCTTGACTGTCACTTTTGTCATAACGTTCTGACAAAAACAATTGGTAAATAAGATTTGAAGTCTTACGTCGCTTGCTCCTGGTGCCCTGAGTGCGTCTCGGGGGCTGGGGGTAGAAGATCGAAACACTTTCTTCTGCAGCTGTATGCGTGACGACACTTTTGGCAACATTAGATGTGTAACCTGCAAACAAAACACGTAACACATCAACAGAGTACACAACTAAGCAAAGGATATATTTTTTAAATGAACAGTTTCTATAGAAATATGCCCAAATGAATAGTTTGTTTGATGGTTCTCAGTAAATAAATAGTTTGTTGGACACCCTCTTCACAATCATTAATTGTGTTTAGATCCCAAACACGACCCTGAATACGTTCCTTGTCCCATCACTTAAGCATGTTTAGAGGCCTAGACATATGATTGTGTTTGTAATGTTTTGGACCTTCAATTAACATGTTTAAAACATGTGTTTTGAACCAAATCATGTCCAGAATATATATAAATTCGTGATTGGCATATTTTGCAATTTGCCAAATAAGTCAACCTGATGCAGTTGGTCTGCGAGGGAAAAGAAAACACTTAGGATGAGTGAGTTTGTGTTTACACAGCTTCGAACAGTATTTCAGTGACGTATCAGCATACTGTGGGAGGAAAGCCCGAAGCGGTGCAGGTCTTAAACAAATACCACGAGGACGTGTTTGTTGCTGACAAACCTAGAAAACATAATCAGGCTGAGTCTGGGAGTCGAACTCACACTGAGATGTTTAAGGCTCGCCTAGGATTCGCATTGTGGGACAGTGAAGCGAGGCGTCCTAGACGACACAGCCACCCGGGAAGACAGACAGGATTACAGTGGGACAGTATCAAGGCCAAGGGCTTCCAAGTTACAACATTTCACATAACTACCTCCCTCCCACGACTCTACTGCAGTAGTTCTCAAAGCAAACTACGAACCAACAATATTCAGAGAATCCCATATTTAATGTGTAAATATATTTGGATTGAATATCATGAAATATGATAACATGCTTAATTTTCCGTGAAATAAGTATTCTAAGATCTTCGTAAAGGGAAAGATCCACCCAAGATTCGTAAATTTGTTATTTGTGCTGATACGACAGTCGATCTGCTGTACACAGTGTAACGTACATATACTTCCTGTTGACTCTGGCAAGGGAGGTAACTACTGAGTGCCACTATTACGGACATCCCTTTTTGTGGTTAAGTTTTAAACTCGTTTCAATTTGAAACACGTTTACGCATTGTATCCTTAAGGTATTCAGATGTTGGTGATGTTGTGGGTATGTAGTGTGAATGTGTTTAGCATCCAAACATGTTTAGATAAAGCACGCAAAATCTTTGTTACGTTCATGATAAAAACACAATCCTTTCGTGCGCTGAGATGTATTAGCATCAGTATCAGTATCAGTATCAGTATCAGTAACTGACAAATGCATATCACGTTTCACTGAACTATTCTGACAGTTTTTGAGTTTCCTTTGGAACTACAGCTGCATCAATAGCCTCTACTACCAACATTGGGATAAAATGATGCGTCATAATCTTTATGAAGGTACAGTTTGCACATATACAAATAATGTATGGGGTGTTTACGTGGTGTGGGGGTAACAAGTCGAGGGCGTATGGTGATTTGAATGAATTCTTACACTCACAGTTACTGGCATCAAACTTGTCTTCTGGGTCAATGCTGTAGCGATGCCTTCCAAAAACAGCATACACTTGATTTTCCAACTTTTCTATCTTCAAAACATCACTGCCCCGGTGATGTGCTCGAGGGATGTGCCTCTCAACTGCAATACATAAACACCGTGTATTTCAATACAAAAGCAACATGATTGTTAAGTTATGTTGTATTTTAACTTTATTATCTTTATTGTTTTCAGTACGAACCAACGACGCTGGTTTTCAATATACTACATATCACCATGAGGACGTTAAACAGAACAATCGAACGGGAGCTATATTTGAGAATTGAACGTTCTGACCAACAGATGCAGGTTTCATCATGCAAATCGCATATAACGTTGGTAAGGTGTACATGTTCCAGACGACTGATTCCCATAGATTGTTTACCTGTATTTCAATGTTACGAGGTATGTATTTACCTTCTGGCCGGGGATCGACATAATGCAAACATGAACTGTCCATTGGAGCAAGTGGGGTGTACTCCTGCGCAGGTTCATTGATGTGGTAGCCACTATACGTCACCTCCACTGGAATTAAGCACCCCAAAATAAACCTCAACATCTGTATGTTATAACGAAATATAAAGCAACCATGCAGACACAGTAATCTTCCGCGAAGGATATTTCATCAGAGTCACTACAGGTTCCAATATTTCAAGGTCATGCTAAAACTAACATGCAAATAACGAGGATTTGAAGATTGTATTTATCTACAAAAATTGTAATACCGTCAGTCTCACTATGATATTTGTTCACCTGCATGTTCAAACAGATCATCGAAACTGCAAGACGGGAAACGGTAAGAAATCCCCGCTCCCTATAATGAACCCACAATGCACACAACTGATGCAGGAAGGTAATTACCTGGATTGGTGATGAACCAGTGGTGGGCGGCCTCGTCGTCAGAGAGGAGAGGCGAGTGCTGGGGGGATGCTGAGGAGGACGCCGGGGACGACACATCGGACGAATAGTCGTACGTGTAGTCTGAAAGCAATGTTGTATTACAGAACATCCATGTTACCTTCACCTCACTGCCCACGTGCACACGGCCCCTCAACCCAGTCACGGGTTCCAACAGGCTTCTTACAGGAGAATATGGTCATATTCGTATTTTGTCATATGGAAATTCACTCTGACTTTGTGCAAATTCTACGTTTATAGCATTAGATAATAGTTCGTACACTTGAATCAGATACAAAATAGTTTGTCCGATGTTTACAGCAGTATGGAACTAACCAATTCTTATTGTTCACAAAACAATATTTCGTCTTACTTCAACTTTACTGTCTACCGTGCCACCACCACTTCAACCACCACTCCTATCACAACTTGTGTGCATGGTATTCCCTTAACTGTCCAGACCATGGCACTTGACTTGGTAAAAGTCAAAATCCACCCGACGCTTCTGATCTTAAATGGGGGGGAGTCGGGTAACTTAGTGGTTAAAACGTTCGGTCGTCACGCCGAAGACCCGGGTTCGATTCCCGACATGGGTACAATGTGTGAAGCCCATTTCTGATGTCCCCTGCCGTGATATCACTTGAATATTGCTAAGAGGGGCGTTAAACCATACTCACTCACTCACTAATCTTAATGGTTTCTAGTTTCGCAACTTTGTCCCACTTCCACTAGTGTGTAATTGCTGGTCCTGAGAACACACTCACCACATCCCCGCTGGTCGTACAACATCGGCATATGCTCCACGTATGTTGTCTGAGCCATGCTGAGTCTGTATTTTGTCCGGGTTCTGGTGAAAAAAGGAATACTGTTATTACTGCAGGACATGGCCATGTGAACACCATTACCGTAGTTCTTCTATGTCACAGAAGCGTTACGTTTTAAACATGTTTTACTAAAGTGCTTCCAGCGCACACTGATGAGTATCAGTTATGTATTGCCATATATGCTGTGTTATATGTACCCTGGATATCTGTAATAAACTTAGCATAACTATAGTTATCCTTCATCAAAATACCTAAAACATACAATTACTGCGCATGTTGCAACAGTTTTGTAAACATCCTACTGCAAAGTAACACCACTTACAATGTTCCACGCGTAGTGCGAAATGTGATTATCTACGTGGCATATACCTGAGTCTTCACCGAAAATGAGAAACAATTCGATTATAATAGCCTGTTCAAAGTGCACGGGTTACATAGTAATGCCTGCATCAGCGCACTTGTGATGACGTCCCAACACCAATACGTACCCGCAGTGCAAGCTCCCAAAGCCAAGTACATACAAGTACCCGTCCCAACAACAGCGTCCAAATACCACCGTAAGCAGCACGTGCACCTCTAATTAATAGTCGTTTGAAACCCCGCCCTCCGACCAATCATATTCCTTGATTTAAAAAAGTCACGTGATGATGTGTAATGGAAATTCCCATATTGTTTGTACCTGAGACGTCTCCATAGGAATCGCAAGTGCACTTATGAGTTGGAATTGTGATACACCACGATAGGCCATTCCACAACCACCCGGGGGGGGGGGGGGGGGGGGGGGGGGGGGGGCAATCCCTTCCCCTGACATCTGCAGCCGTGACCCCCGGGTCTAACGTGGCGTCTGACGCTAGTTGAATGAGCACACGGACGGCCACGCTTGACGTCGCCCCTTTGAGCCAACGTATGTCTGGCCCTTCCTACGGGACAATTGTAATGCTGAATGAATTAGAACCCGTTATACACATAACTCTACCTTGTGTTCCACGTTGCTAGTCAACGCAATAAAAATAATTTATTAATTCATATATGAATAAAGGTTAACTACTACTACTACTACTACTACTACTACTATTACTACTACTACTACTACTACTACTACTACTACTATTACTACTACTACTACTACTACTACTACTACTACTACTACTACTACTGCTACTACTACTACTACTTCTACTACTACTACTACTACTACTACTACTACTTCTGTCACCAATAGTACTGATATCATTACTGGTATTTCCACTTATGCAATAACTACCGTTGTTTCAATGACACCGCAAACTGCTAATATTCAAACCGTCACTACAGGAAAAAATCTTGCTAGAATAACAACAATAGATTTTTATACACCACCTCGTACACATTATCCAATACTAACCGACTGGGGTAACATATTAACAGCCATATGTCGCAGTTGTAGGGTGCCCTTGAACAAAGCCACGAAAATATACGATGAAATAGTGCCCCACACTGTAACACCTACCTGACATTTTGAAATACTTGCTGTTTGAGGTAAAACAGCCTGTAAAGTATGTGTGGTCACTGCACTTCTTTGGATGGTGGTCACTTCAGCATCGTCGTACATCGTTACAGCATCCTGAAACCAAATGAAATGGTCAGTACTTTATGTGTAACCGATTATATGGTAATAATTAAATGTAAGGAAAACTGACGAGGAAAAGATGGAACAAGGATATCAATCTACATGGGGAAAAACGGCTATCAGTGACGACAAAGTCATCACTTCCAACTCACAATTTTCCTGATAAAGCCTTTAAATAAAATTGCAAAATGACCAATATCACAAAATATGAAATACTGCAGATTCAGAGAGGACTGAAATTTCTACATATGTGGTACCATTATCAGACTATTGACTTAACTTCATTAAGGTTTGGGTGAGTAAATTAAGTACTATGGATCTGACAGTTTCAGTGAATTACAAAATATAATACAGTTGTTTTAAAAATATACTTTTTTACTGTACATTTTCTCATGGGCATGCTTCGATCACAGTATTAGCATTGTTGCCACATCTGAAGTCGAATTGTATATGGACCTATTTCGCCACTATCATGGTGAAGTTCAGAATATTTCATTTTATATCAGTCATGACGAGCAATGTGTTCAGTGAGGGCAAATTCCATAGGTCCAGAGCGACTATGGCTATTTCAAAATGAGGTGGTTTATGTTTCTATTAATGTTTATATATTGAATTTAACTGTTAATTATATCATCATATATCCCCACGCTAGTTGTATATTTTATTCGACATGTTTCTGCCAACATTGCGATAGTACATTGTTCTCATTCTCTGATACATAACTTATACCCTGACTAAAAAACCCAAGCATGTTGTTGTAGATGCAATCGGCATTCCCAAGATAAACATCGTATAATTCAATTTGTCTTTGCATGGTCATGAAAACAACATGGAAATAAAGATATGAATGACACACTACTAACAGTCTTCAGAACATTCAAGGTGACTCAAGATCTGGCGTGTAACACACGGCATCAGTGAACAGCTAATTTTACCACTTGCTGCATGGATGTTTTATATATCAACAAGTGATCTAATCCTTATTACAATACACTCAGTTAGTATCATTCTTATGTATTATGTATTAATGATATTTTAGAAATTCTAACCACGACATCTATACATGTAGTGGTATACCCAGACATACAGGACATGTTTACATGTAGTGACAGAAGACAGACAGGAAATGTATATATGTAGTGGTATAGACAGACATACATGACATGTATACATATAGTGATACACACAGATACACAGGACATGTTTACATGTTGGTTGGTTGGTTTGTTGTTTAACGCCGACACTCAGCAATAGTCCAGCTATATGACGGCAGTCTGTAAATAATCGAGTCCGGACCAAACAATCCAGTGATCATGAGCATCGATCCACGCAATTGGATCAGCGAGCCTGATCATGTTAGTCCCCTCTTACGACAAGCATAGTCGCCTTTTACGACAAGCATGGGTCGCTGAAGACCTACTTTACACCGGATCTTCACGGGTCACACGAGCACATGTGGTGGTATATACAGACTTACAGGACACGTATACATGTAGTGGTATACACAGACATACAGGACATGAGCACATGTAGTGGTCTGCATGTAGTGGTATACACAGACATACATGACATGGTTACATGTAGCGGTATAAGACATGACAACATGTACACATGCATTGACAGCAGACATACAGAACATGAAGACATGTAGTGGTATACACAGACATACAGGACATGATTACATATAGTGGTACAAGACATAACGACATGTACACATGCATTGACAGCAGACATGCAGGACATGTAGACATGTAGTGTTATACACAGACATACAGGACATGTAGACATGTAGTGGTATATACAAACATACAGGTATGCATTGCCAGCAGATATACAGAGCATGTATACATGTAGTGGTATACACAGACATACAGGACATGAATACATGTAGTGACAGCAGACATACAGGACATGAAGACATATAGTGGTATACACAGACATACAGGACATGTTTACCTGTAGTGGTATAAGACATAAGGACATGTACACATGCATTGACAGCAGACATACAGAACATGTAGACATGTAGTGTTATACACAGACATATAGGAAATGCATAGATGTTGTGGATTACAGAGACATACAGGACATGAAGACATGTAGTGGTATACACAGACACACAGAACATGCATACATCTCGTGGTATACACAGACAAACAGAACATGCAGACATCTCGTGGTATACACAGACATACAGGACATGTACACATGTAGTGGTATACACAGACATACAGGACATGTACACATGTAGTGGTATACACATACATACAGGACATGCATAGATGTAGTGGTATACACAGACATACAGGACATGTACACATGTACTTACAGCAGATATACAGGACATGTTTACATGTAGTGGTATAATACACAAGGACATGTAGATATGTAGTGGTATACACAGACATACAGGTCATGTATATATGTAATGGTATACACAGATATACAGGACATGTATACATGTATTGGTATAAGACATAAGGACATGTATACATGTAGTGGTATACACAGACATACAGGACATGCATAGATGTAGTGGTATACACAGACATACAGGACATGCATAGATGTAGTGGTATACACAGACATACAGGACATGTAGATATGTAGTGACAAGAGACATACAGGTCATGTAGTGGTATACACAGACACACAGGACATGTTTACATGTAGTAGTATAAGACATAAGGACATGTACACTTGCATTGACAGCAGACATACAGAACATGTAGACATGTAGTGTTATACACAGACATACAGGACATGTAGACATGTAGTGGTATATACAAACATACAGGTATGCATTGCCAGCAGATATACAGAGCATGTATACATGTAGTGGTATACACAGACATACAGGACATGAATACATGTAGTGACAGCAGACATACAGGACATGAAGACATATAGTGGTATACACAGACATACAGGACATGTTTACCTGTAGTGGTATAAGACATAAGGACATGTACACATGCATTGACAGCAGACATAGAGAACATGTAGACATGTAGTGTTATACACAGACATATAGGAAATGCATAGATGTTGTGGATTACAGAGACATACAGGACATGAAGACATGTAGTGGTATACACAGACATACAGAACATGCATACATCTCGTGGTATACACGGACAAACAGAACATGCAGACATCTCGTGGTATACACAGACATACAGGACATGTACACATGTAGTGGTATACACAGACATACAGGACATGTACACATGTACTTACAGCAGATATACAGGACATGTTTACATGTAGTGGTATAATACACAAGGACATGTAGATATGTAGTGGTATACACAGACATACAGGTCATGTATATATGTAATGGTATACACAGATATACAGGACATGTATACATGTATTGGTATAAGACATAAGGACATGTATACATGTAGTGGTATACACAGACATACAGGACATGCATAGATGTAGTGGTATACACAGACATACAGGACATGCATAGATGTAGTGGTATACACAGACATACAGGACATGTAGATATGTAGTGACAAGAGACATACAGGTCATGTAGTGGTATACACAGACACACAGGACATGTTTACATGTAGTAGTATAAGACATAAGGACATGTACACTTGCATTGACAGCAGACATACAGAACATGTAGACATGTAGTGTTATACACAGACATACAGGACATGTAGACATGTAGTGGTATATACAAACATACAGGTATGCATTGCCAGCAGATATACAGAGCATGTATACATGTAGTGGTATACACAGACATACAGGACATGAATACATGTAGTGACAGCAGACATACAGGACATGAAGACATATAGTGGTATACACAGACATACAGGACATGTTTACCTGTAGTGGTATAAGACATAAGGACATGTACACATGCATTGACAGCAGACATAGAGAACATGTAGACATGTAGTGTTATACACAGACATATAGGAAATGCATAGATGTTGTGGATTACAGAGACATACAGGACATGAAGACATGTAGTGGTATACACAGACATACAGAACATGCATACATCTCGTGGTATACACGGACAAACAGAACATGCAGACATCTCGTGGTATACACAGACATACAGGACATGTACACATGTAGTGGTATACACAGACATACAGGACATGTACACATGTCGTGGTATACACATACATACAGGACATGCATAGATGTAGTGGTATACACAGACATACAGGACATGTACACATGTACTTACAGCAGATATACAGGACATGTTTACATGAAGTGGTATAATACACAAGGACATGTAAATATGTAGTGGTATACACAGACATACAGGTCATGTATATATGTAATGGTATACACAGATATACAGGACATGTATACATGTATTGGTATAAGACATAAGGACATGTATACATGTAGTGGTATACACAGACATACAGGACATGCATAGATGTAGTGGTATACACAGACATACAGGACATGTAGATATGTAGTGACAAGAGACATACAGGTCATGTAGACGTGTAGTGGTATACACAGACACACAGGACATGTTTACATGTAGTAGTATAAGACATAAGGACAAGTACACATGCATTGACAGGAGACATACAGAATATGTAGTGATAAACACAGTCATACAGGTCATGTATACATGTAGTGGTGTACACAGTCATAACGACATGAACACATGCATTGACAGCAGATGTACAGAACATGTATACATGTAGTGGTATACAGAGACATACAGGACATGTACACGTGTAGTGGTATACACGGACATACAGGACATGTACACATGTAATGACAGCAGACATACAGGACATGAAGACATGTAGTGGTATACACAGACATAGAGCACATGTTTACATGTAGTGACAGCAGATGTACAGAACATGTATACATGTAGTGGTATACACAGACATACAGGACATGTACACATGTAATGACAGCAGACATACAGGACATGAAGACATGTAGTGGTATACACAGACATAGAGCACATGTTTACATGTAGT